AACTGGGATGCAAGCACATAGAGCCATTTGAAGCTTGGTTAATACAAATGATCAGACGATGTATCACAAAATTTTAAAAGGCTGAGGCTAAAAATTAGAATACAAAATCCTTTTTTTTTTTAGAGGCCACAGCAGATTCCCAAACCTAAAGCAGCACCTCTCTTTTGTGTCGTCACTTTTATTTTACCTGAGATAATCCATACAATGGCATTTATAAGGACTAAACAGATGAGACTTTACTGGAAAGATCAAAAACTCACTCCAAAAAAGGAAAACTTGTTTAAAAAAAATCCACATGGCCTCAAACAGAGACTTCCTCTATGTGTTTAGAAGACACTTGCCCCCAATACAATGTGTAGCTTAAGCATACTTACTACAAAAATTGGTAATGCCTGCTGTCCTGTATTCCTGGAGCCTCTTGATTTCCCTTCGGAGTTCAAATTCCACTGTTTATGCCAAGAAGAATGAAGGAGAAAATTTGGAAAAACAATATCATCATCAATGAACACTTTTGCTGTTATTTTCAGTAATTCTCCCTTATATACGAGACCAGGCAATTCCATTTGAGGGATCCTATACGTTGGTGACATCTCATTAGAAATTTTACCCTCGAGCTGAGGAAAGCCTACGCTAGCCATCTTTTGGCTGCCATGGCCAACTGGAAAACGCAGCTGGAACTGTCCCCCAGAAAACATACAGTGAACCGGCTGAGTTCATTTAGCTACAGAAGGAACAAATATAATTTTTTTAAACAACTAAGTTTCCCCGCTCTATTTATCCTCTATTAACAGGTTTACCCACATAACCAAATTCTTTTATAAAACCTGTCTCTGCTATTACTTGATGTGGCCCTTTTGCGAGCAAAGGACAAAAGCTCTGTGCTCAAGTCCCAGATAGTTTCTTTACAGCTTTTCTCCTATAGGAACAAAAGAGCATTGTTTTCCATAAACCAAAGATTTCTGCCTCCTCTAAGTGCACAGCTCAGGTTGCAACTGCTTGGGTTATTACGTGATAGAACATTCAAAATTGAGTGCTTTGAAAGAGAGCATGATGAAGGAAGAGCCTGAACAAGCCATGGGGTGTAATTCTTTGGAATGACGCATAAACCAGGGGTGGCACAAACTGGGACAGGAAGTAAAAGATCAGTCACCCAGTACAAACCACACAAAGAATGCCAACCAAACACGGTGCTTGACGAGGACAACCAACCTGGCTCAGATAAATGCCTGCAATGCCATGCAAGAAATATTTGCATGATGAGAACAGGGTAAGAGCCTTGGTAAAGCATTCTCCCAGAACTAAATTTGAGGGTCAAATACACAAATCTAGTGAAGAAAGGTGTAGCCTAAGCCACCCAGTCCAGATTATTGTAAAGTGTAGGCCTCACTGCCTTAACAACTTCAATTTTTTTATTGTGAAAAATCAAATGGTAATTGGGTAGAGTCTCTCAGGAAGACAGGCAAAAGAATGGTGGAAGTACTGGGAAGCCTGGCTGGCTCGGTCCATAGAGCATGGGACTCTTGATCTTGGGGTTGTGAGTTTGAGCCCCACACTGGGCATAGAGATTACTTAAGGAAATAAAAAAGTGGGTTTTTTTTACTTAAAAAGAGAGAGAGAGAGAGAGAGAATGATGAGGGAGCCTGGGTGGCTCAGTTGGTTGGGCGTCTGCCTCCAGCTCTGGTCATGATCTCAGGGTCCTGGGATCGAGCCTCGCATCAGGCTCCCCGCTCAGCGGGGAGTCTGCTTCTCCCTCTCCCCCTGCTTCTCCCTCTACCCCTGCTTGTGCTCTCTCTCACTCTCTCAAATGAATACATAAAATCTTAAAATAAAATAAAATACTTAAGAGAGAGAATGATGGAGGTACTATCTCTATGAGTCATCCAACTCTGTCCCCATTTTAAAATCTAGTTTTAATACTAAAGTATTTATGAACAAAATGATCTGATGTCTGGGATTTGCTTCAAAATAATCCAGCTGAAGGTGAGAGAAGAGGGGGTGATAAAAATGAAACTGGATTGGCCATGTGTTAATTGCTGAAGCTGGGTGATGGATACATGGGGGTTCATTACACTATTATGTCTATCTTTGTATATATTTGAAAACTCCCATAATAAAAAGTGGAGGGGGAAACTACTAAACTACTGCTTAGCTGGGAAAAAAGAAAGCTACCAGCCTTTTTAACCTCTTCTGTCCTACCCCCAAAGTCCCAAATTTAGTTCATGGTAATAAAGGGGAAGAAAAGATAAAAATATCCATTTATTTATTTATAGAACTTCACCTAAAACATACCATTTTCTCTCCTATTTATATCAACACACACACACACACACACACACACTTATGCAAGGCTTAAAAAGCACCTACGTGCGTGGCTTTCAATGAACTTGTCGTGCTCCATTGGCCCCACTATCCTTGCAAATCGCCTCATTGTTTCGTAAAGGTCTTGGACTTCCTTGGGATACCGCCGTTCCATTACTACAGAGAACATAAAACACAACCATGCCATAGAGAATATAAGAATCTCTAAGTTCTCTGCATTTCTTTTATAAGAAGTGAGATGGAAGGACACTATGCCTAACCTCACATGACTAATTTACCCATGACGGGAAGCAAACAGGAAAGCCAAGAATGCAAAACACTAATCATCAAGATAAGAGCATCCCAGTGACTATCATACAGGGATGTTGTTATCCCTGGAGAACTGAAGACCGTCTGCATCACTGAGTGCCCTGGTGACCTCCACACCTCAGGCTCTTCATCTGTACAGGGGCAGGGACCGTTGGCAGTAATGGGAAAGATGATTGAAGGCAGATCACCATATTCTTAGGAACAACGTTGGGCAAAATTTCTGGTATTAACTTCCGCAGGAAAACAAGGGAAGTGCAGATACAATAATCCATCTAGAAGAGGTAGACTAGCCTAGAAAAAAAAGTGTGCTATCTTTCATGCCCCACCAGAAATCTCCCTAACAACACGGCCTCCAGTGAGGCATTTATTTCTTCACTCTCTATCAGGGTCATTTTGCCTTCCTCTAAACTAAGTACCACAACTAAATTTACTACTAATGAAGTTATATTTTGATAACTATCATCCACGTAAATGGTATATACACAGGGTAGCCACAGTCAGTAACTCTGAGGATCACTAACGACCAAATTTCTAATAAAAAGTAGTATCCGCAAAGAAGATGGGGAGTAAAACCTACCAACAGTACGTGGTAGGTTGGAGTAGCCAGAACAGCTACTTGGTCGTTTCAATCAGATGCACTAGGCTGAAACTAGGTGATTAGATGAGCTAATCAGTAACTAAGCTAGTTCTGCTCACTTTTGGACTACAGATACAAGCTTTCTGTCATGACAGTTATTTAAATTAAGTCCTTTCCTCAGCTGAATCTCTTCCCTTGAGGGAGACATTCTTATCCACAAATTCCAGGTGCTGATCTGATGGGCAGCCATAGACTATTTTGACTACCAAACCCTCCCCCCACCAAAACCAAAAGCAAAAAAACACCCTACAGGGATAGTACAGAAGAATTAGGAGTAAAAACTTTAAATTTGATGAAAAAACCCCTCTGCCTACAATATTAAGGTCACATACACTCACTAAAATGGCAATTGACACCTCTGAAACCAACAAAGCCTCCTCTCAGCTTCTAAACGTACAAAATACAATTAAAAAGAATAATCAGGCTAAACTGACCTCTGTTTACCAGCTGAGAATAGAGTTTATATGAGAGTCAAGGTCTATTGACCTTGGTCAAACCCCTATTGACCTATTATTGAAAGCCCAGGCATTCAGACATGGGAACCCACTATTGTAGCTACTAGAATATGACCAATAATTGTCTATAGAAAGGGCAATGGAAATCTGATCCTGAGTTATTTTTGCAAACCCACAGTCCTCAGTGAAGGATGAGGTTAAACCGGCAATCTCATCTATTGCTAGAAGGAATATAAATTGGTACAACCATCTTTTGGAAAACAATCTGGCAGCGCAGGTCAAGCATTTTTAATGATCACATTTTTTGACCTATTACCTCCACTTCTGGGAATCTACCTTAAAAAAAATTCTACATATATATAAAGCTTTATTCACAAATTCATCATAGGATTATTTATGATTCAAAAAAAACTGAAAATAAGCTAAATATCTAATAAAAGTTTAGCATGTTATATACTTATATATATACAACATATTACATAACTATTAAGAGGGACATCTTCAAAACACCTCAATCACTTGAAAAAGTGTTAACAGAAAGTGAAAAAAAATGTAACATACTTATTTATGATCACAACTATATTAAAAAACACTTAACCCATGACTGGCTGACCTGAACCCTACAATGGCTCAGAGTGTCAAGCCCTCTAAGATTCTATCAACTAGGATAAGAAGCACAATAATCGTTAGGAACTTTTACAAAAAGGACTACTGTGACATACAAGTATTCTAACATTTCTATATAAATACTGTAATCATATTATGAGTCATCATTCTTATTTGCTGAACAAATTCTACAGTGTAGAAGAAGAAAAAGTACAGAGACTTTCTGCTCAGCCTAGGTATCTCCAATATTTAAAACAGTAAGGTCAAAGTGTGCATTCACTTAGAAGTCATTATAGTTTTACTATCACCATCATACAATGCTAGATGTCTGTTTGTCCACTACTATGCAAAATAATGGTTGCTTTTCCCATAAAAATGTTTAACAACCCAATGACCAAGGTTATGTTAACATATAGTTCCTACCCACTTCCAGAAAATGATCCATTAATAGTCATGCTGTAATTATGATTACAGCTTTACTTTAAAAAAAAAAAGTATCATACAAGTGTTGATCATACATTAATGGTTCTGAACTCTACTATGTAACAGAATTTCCTTGAAGATTTCTTAAAAATGCTCTAGCACTAACCCTCAGAGATTCTGACTTAATTAGCCTCAGGTGATACCCAGGCATCAGAATTTTTTTTAAAGCTTCCAACATGAGATGCTGGGGCGCCTGGCTGGCTCAGTCGGTAGAGCATGTGACTCCTGATCTCAGGGTCGTGAGTTTGAGCCCCGCACTGGGTGTGGAGATGACTTAAAAAAAAAGCTACCTACATGATGCTAATATGCAACTTGGATTAAGAACCACTGCCATAAATGATTTGTTCAAGACTGTTCAATAATGTTGGAAGAAATTTTAAAATAAAGCAGCTAATACTTACACTGAAACTTTCTAAGGTTGATTAATCCATGGTCTCTTATAATTCTAGGATGAAAACCACAATAATGTATATTATAATTAGTTCCACATCTAATAATGTCTTCCACATACAGCTTTTATTACACATTTGAAACACTATGAGGTGGAATACTGAGGTTCAAAGACACCATCATTCCCCACTAAGTTCTGAAGGGTAGTGAGTCTGCTAACACAATTTTAGGCTTTCAAGCATCATATATTTTTCCTCTCCTTGCACCTGATAGACTCTCAGTAACTGTTTGCTGGATGAATGAATGAGCACTCAAAAATACTGAAATACATGTCTATAACTTGGAATGAAACAGAAGGGAATCTGTGTCTATGTCATAAGAATTAATCTGTTCAATTTAGGGAACTGATAATTGAGAACAGTCATTTAAGGGAAACGGCTAAACCATAAAAGGGCACCGTGATCACACCTTCAACATTTACAACTGCACACGTGTACATTCACAGAACGTTTTGAAGCTATTTGAAATAAATATTGTGCATGTTTAGTGGAAGGGCCTCAACATAAAATCTAACAGCATCCTCAACCACTGAGTTCCACAATACTGGCTAGCTCTAATTATGTGTTTTAAGCAAAAACAGAATTTAGGTAAACCATGCAGAGCTGTGTCTGGAACCGCAGGTATTCATGACTAGTGATGAAGCTTCTCACAGGGTCAGCTGGGTAATCTCCTTCCGCACTTCTCAGAAGCTGACTCTAGGCACGCTTTACTTTAAGGTCACATCTTGGTCCCTCAAGAGTGCCTCCCAAGTCCTATTCCTCTTTTTTTGTTGAGATGCCACTGTGTTTCTACTCTGTAACACCATGATAACACACACACATGTTCATACCCCTGCATACCCTTTTCTGAACTGTTAACAGTCTCTGTAAGCTAACAGGGGTCTGGGATCCATAATTTCTCAGTCTGAATGTATGTTTTTTATTCTGCTGCAAAGAGAAGGAGTAACTCTGAAACCTGTTCAGAATTTCTTTGAAATCCTATTTTAGATAAGACTTCTCATAAAAAATGAGCAGTTAGAATGAAAGCATTAAAAAAAAGCGTAACAATTTGATAACACCTTGAATTTATCTTGTTCCTTTTTTCCTTAAAACAGTGCACCCATATTATTCAATGGTCATCATAACATAAAGAAAGGGTAAGAAAGAGGAGGTAAAAAAACAAACAAAAAAAGGACAAGTATTATTATCCGCATTTGACAGATGGAAAAATTAAGGACCAAGGAAGATAAGTGTCTTCCTCAAGGTCACAAGACAAGCCACAGCTAGAATGTACTATGGGCTATATGTGGTCAATAGTCCATACCTGAAAGAAGGCTGGATGGTTTTCTATACTTACTTTTTTCGCCTTTGTCTCTCCTTTAACCTGGAATGGTAGATATCTACTACAGCCATCTTCAGAGCTATAAACAAACACATACACACACATAGATATAAAGCCAAGACAAAAATAAATCTTTTATCCGAATGGTCTTAAACCTTGAACCTCATATTGCTAACTATTCCACACTCACTGGTCTAGGCACTTTGTCTCTTGGAAACAAAAATATCCTAGGATACTGAATTTCTTTGTCAGTAAATTACAGTGAAGATCTTTTTTCCTATGTATCTGTTTGTATGGCATTACCCAATAGATAACAATTTCTGCTTTCTACTGAACAGCTCTTTTGGCCATGCCTTGTTATGCATATTACTAGGTTTCATATAATGGGAGTCTGAACTTTGGTCATACACGGGCTAGAAATCGCATCTATTAGAGTAGTCATAAAAATGAATATTGACTGGGGTTATAACCTCACAGGAGTAAGTTCAGGAGACAATATCAAAAAAGACTGATATGAATAAGGTGCAGCAGAGACATTTTCCCAGAGTAGCACTTTTCAGTTGTGGAGCAACAACTATTTAGGGGATAGTTTTGCATGCAGTAGTGAAAAGTTCCACTAACTGGCCTAACAACCCCAAAGCTATGTTCTGCTTTGTTGCGCATGTTCCAATCCTTTCCTGGCTTTAGCCTCATGTTAAAGACACAGGGAATTAGGAGAAAACAGTCAGCAGATGGCAAAAGGTTTCATCAATTCAATAGTTCTGGTTCTCTTTCTTTCCCTGGCCAATTTTTCCAGCTTCAGAGTTCCTCAGGGTTCTGTTCTCATCTTTCTTTTCACCCCTCACCTTATTCCTATAAACTCATCCACTCCTATGGTTCCAAGTACATCAAAATATATAATCTCAAACTCAGATATTTATTTTAAGCTCCAGACCCTATCTGGATATCTCTACTCCCATAGTCCTCAGTTACAAATTTGTACTTTACCTCTTTCCCAAAACTCTGTTGTCCAAGACAGAAATCAGCCTGACTCTCCCTCCCCTCCCTCCATATCCAGTCAGTGAGTCTTACCTATACTGAAGGCTTCAGTCTGTCTCGAATTCATCTCTTCCTCTTTGTCCCTAACCCTATTCCTTAGCTCGGGTATCTTGTCTCACCTAGATCACTGCATGTACTTTTTAGTAACTCCAGTCTATCTTATTCTAATTCAACCCTTCAAATGGTACCAGGGTAATGTTTTTAAGCATTATCTGATGGTGTATTTCCCCTGCTGACAATTTTTCCAGTGGCTTCCCATCCACTTACAGGAGTTCAAACCCTCACATATTATACAGAACTCCTTATTGCCTTGAATCTCCCTATCTTCCCAGTTTCGTTTCCTACCATTCCTTCATATGCCCTATACACCATGCAGGCAAAACAATCTGCCCTCGCTCACAGAGCTGCTAAGTACAGAGCAGGGATCCAAACCCAGTTTGATTCTAGAGCCTTGGAGTAGCAGAGACACTGAAATTGCCCAACATGTTTACTTTGTGAGAGTAGAGAAATCTGGCTTAACTAAAAATGAAATGAGTGTTTAAAAAAAAAACAAACTCAGAAGTAAACAACTCCCACAGGCTTTTTATAATCTGAAGACCCTCTGAAGTTAAGAAATAAAGACCAACCGTTAACAGCTCTAGAAGAAACTGAAGACTACTTGACTTGGCACTGTGCAACACAAACCATTCTTAACTATAATCCATGGATTCTGAAGGAACTTTTTTTTAAAGATTTTATTTATTTATTTGAGAGAAAGAGAGAGAGGGAGAGAGAGCACAAGTGGGGGGAGGAGGGGCAGAGGGAGAGGGAGAAGCAGACTCCCAGCCAAGTGGGGAGCCCGATGCCCGATGTGGGGCTCGATCCTAGGACCCTGGGATCATGACCTGAGCCGAAGGCAGACCCTTAATGACTGAGCCACCCAGGCACCTGGATTCTGAAGGAATCTTAAAATTTAATGATTTCAGTAGATTCTGGAACTATCTTAGTAACTTGTTATCCCCTTAGGCTTTGTGTAAGTTGAGAGTTTGATGGGTTTTGTTTTAATTACTGAATGTAGTCACAGAAGAAAGAGGCTCTAGAGCACAACATAATGACCTGACACGTGTCCTTTGAAAAACTAAAATATACTATTCAGATGGTAGGTAATAAAATTTAACACACCAGCCGTGCAGCCAAGAATTTATTGTGTATGACAATCACGTCTTCCAGGTTAGTGAGCTTCACTGAACCAAAATAGAGCCTAGAGCCTCTGTAATACTGATAAACAAAAAAGGCAATATAATCTCATTGCTCATCAGAAGGATGTGAGATACAAATTCAAGTTTAACCCATGGGGGCAATAAGTCAACACAGATTTGCATGTTCTCCTAGAATAACTTTTAAACGTTGTTTTCAAACACGTTCTTATTTGAAACGGACAAGTTAGGTCAGCTTTAGCTGAACCTCTTCTCCCTATTCTACCTCAGCTACCTTTTCCTGTAGTAGTCTCTGAGGGTACCTCCGTGGAATAATTTGAAACCCATACTTTTGCTTCCTGAAACTAGATTTTAAGGCAGGAAAAAAAATGCAACCAATCAAGTAAGAGAACAGTACACAATGGCTCGTTACAATCACGAATTTCTTTCAGTATATAAAACAACAAAAGTTGAGTAATGTACAATTCTGAGGCAGTGTCAATATGGTATTCCTGACAAGATAATAAATTCTGGATACTCCATGCTGACTCATTACTGTGCATCTCACTGCTACCTGGTCTCAGGACAGTCTCAGATTAAAAGGAAGAAATACCAAAATCTAACATGTGGGGCTATGAACAGATGCACTATATATGTATGTAACTTCAATCACTGGGAAATGACCAGGAATACTTTATCTAGGCCATTCTGCCTTGAGTCTGAGATAAAAATAACAAATTCTAACTGGATGATCTGAAGAGGTAAGTGGATGCATTACTTTTTAAAGTTTAAGTATAAAGAAAAAAGTATTAGTTACTACAGATTTTCTTTGTTCATTTCTAATAAGTTCAAAATTTTATTTATCTAAAGATTTTATTCAGGGGTGCCTGGGTGGCTCAGTCAGTTAAATGTCTGCCTTCAGCTCAGGTCATGATCCCAGGATCCTGGGATTAAGCTTTGGGCTCCCTGCTCAGTGGGGAGTCTGCTTCTCCCTCTCCCCGCCCCCCTGCTCTCTCACTATTGCTGTCAAATAAATAAAAATAAATTTTTAATAAATCTTTAATAAAGAGAGAGAGAGAGTGCACGCATAAGCAGGGGGAGCAGGAGAGGGAGAAGCAGGCTCCCTGCTGAGCAAGGAGCCCGATGTGGGGCTCGATCCCAGGACCCTGGAGATCATGACCTGAGCCGAAGGCAGCTGCTTAACTGGCTGAGCCACCCAGACGATCCAGTAAGTTCAAAAAGTTAAACAACACTGCTTTATTTTTCCTCACAACCATCCAC